ATCTAACTAAGACGTGGGGAGCAGCAATTATTTGAAGGGAAAATAACAAACACATCACATGACATATTTATAGTGAAAAATAAAAATAAAATATATGGACTGTATTTCTGCTTATATGACATGACAAGCTCAATTAGTAAAGAAAAAGGAGTAAAATTCAATAAATTATAAAATTAAGATGGAAATTAATTGCATGAAAACTACATAAACCTACTATTGAATTTTTTATTTTTTTTATAGAACAAAATATGTAAACATATATTAGCTTAGTTATTTAATTTATTAAGCATCTTAAACTTGAGCGTCTTGTTGAATCTTTATAAAATCTAAGTAGTCAAATTGAATCTTATATTTTGACAAGTTTCTCTTATATGTATACATTAAATCATGAATTAAGAAAACTTGACAATAGTTCACCTTTAAATGATTTTAGTCAGGGTAAATCTATCATATGGTCAATGATATACAGAATTGTTTAATGTATATTTTTAATACTAATTCACACTAAATTCACTGTAAATTATTAAACTATGATGTGTTTGGAGCTTTTGTGCCCATTATATTTTTATTTATTTATTTATTTATTTTTCTAGTACAAGATGGATAAATTATAGATGAGATTGTACCGTAGATATACATACTTTAAAATTATATGTCATATGCAAAACAACAATTTCAAGTAAAAGTATGATATTTTATGACATAAATATTCATTTTTATGAAAACTGTATGACGGATCGACTCGTCTATTGTTAAACAAATCTCACACAAGACTTATTGATTTATAGAAACATATTGAGAATGATTAGATATGAAACAATTTTTTTTTAAAAAAAAAAATGAAAATGTAATGCTAGTGCAAATATTGATGAAGAATTAACAAACACAATTATTGAAATTCATTAATTCTTTTATATACATGTGTGTGTGTGTGTGTTTCCCCTTTTGGGCCCTAAAATCAATGGCAATAAATGGTGAGCTGGTTTTTGCCCCCCAAATTCAATAGACTCATCTTAAACTATTAAGTAAACCTTTATTCCATTTTTACTCTGATTAATCCTATATTTTAATTTTGAGTGAAAATATCCACATGAAATGAAACAACACGTATTTTAATAAATCTTACGGTTCCGTTACGGAACATCAAATCGGAGTTTGTAACCGTTAGATCATCATATAACCGTGAGAGATAATTAATCAAACAGCTATAAATCCCGATAAAATAATTTTATAACGAGACCGTAGTATTTCCCAACATTTTATTCGATGAATTGATAATAAGAGACCAATCGCTTTATGCAAAATATGAGGATTCATTCGAAAATCGACACGTCGGCCTCATCAATTTAAAAGAATGGCCCCA